CACAACCAAAGCTAAATAAACATTCAATCTTTTTCTTTTTTTTTAAATTTTTTTTAAGGTTCACAATTTTTATTTTTATTTTTTTTAAAGATTCATAACTAAAACTAAATATACATTCAATTTCTTTTTATTTTTTATTTTTATTTTTTTTAAGATTCACAACCATTTTTTTTTAAAAAAAAGATTCACAACCAATGGATAACAGTCACACTGTTTCTCTGCTTTTGTTCTTACCTGACTTCATAAAACCGTGCTTGGCAATGATGCATATACTAGTGAATTGCATGATGGGTCTTGTATTTAAAAGAAAAAAATTATCGTCTTTACTGCCTTTGCATCTTTTGATTAATGCTAAAAAGTGATCGAATCAAATTTTTATGATTCATAATTTGATTCGATTCGAGACCATTTCGATTTAGGATTCGAATCAAATTTTTTATAGGAATAGAATTTTTCTAAATAGATTTTAAAAAATTTAGATATACATAAAATTTGACAAGAACAATATGACAATGTTAGTTAATGTGTATTTGATTTTGTTGTTCATCTAAATAAAATAAAATAAAATAAGATTGAATGTATATTTAGCTTTGGTTGTAAATCTTTAAAAAATAAATAAAAATTGGTTGTGAACTTTAAAAAAAAAATTTAAAAAAAGAAAAGAAAAGAAAAAAGATTGAATGTATATTTAGCTTTTGGTTGTGAAAAAAAAAAAATATATATATGGGGAAATTAGTGGGTACCCATCCTCTCCCCATCCCCTGTGTTTATTTAAAGAATATCACTTACCCTACCCAACGGATAAGAAAAAAAAAGAAAACCCTTACATATGGGTTGGGTCTCCATGGATACCCATAGGATATGTTATGCATTGCCATCCCTATATATCACAGAGAAATATGAGTGTTGCAAATCAAATCTCATTTCTCTCTCTCACACTCTCTCTCTCTCTCTCTCTCTCAATGACCGTTTAGCCTTCTTATTGCTTCTTCCATTTGATGAGAACAATGAGAATAAAGCAAAAAGGAAATAAAAGAGAAAGCGTTGTGAAGTCCATGGAACGGCTCTCTACCAAATTAGAATTTAAAACAGGTGATCGTTACCCATAAAAACTCTCTAATCAATTAGTGCATCAGAATGAATAGCATATTATATAAAGGACAATTAATACTGGAAACATGGCTTCTCTCTGCTGGCTAATCAACCCGCTGCTACTTCATCGCTAATCACTGTTGGCTTCTCTCTGCTGGTACTCCGCCATTGGCTTCAACTACTCCAACGCAGACCACACATGTTGCCCCACTCAACGTGACATGTGTGGTTGCTGACTTCCTCTGCGACATCCCCGTTGTCTTCATCTTCAACCATCCAGTGCTGACCACGCCGTTACCCATTCAACGTAACGTGCGTGGTTGCTCACTCTGTTGACTTCGGATTGTCCAACGCCACTCACACACGTCGCCCTCTCAACGCGTCGTGTGTGGTTCGGCCTAGCACGGTTCAGCTTCAGTTTCCACTATCATTCATCAATTAATATTATATAATTAAAAAATATAATTAAAAATTATAAATAAATAAAAATATATATAAATACTCAAATAAAAATAAAAATTGTTGTATAATATTTATTAATAATATTTAATAAAGTCATAATTGATAAAAAGAAAGTCACTTGTTTTAAAGAAATTAAAATTTTTAAGCATTCCCTCCAAACAAATTGATTCAATGTTAGGTTTAATTTTGGAGGGAAATGAAATTTTCAACTCTCCCTCCCATCAATATGTTTCAAATAATTTGATTGAATCCCACATAGAATTTTGTAGGTTCTTTTTGAAATTTTTTTTCCTATAAATAGGAATAGACTTTCATAATCTTCTCCAACTTCCAATGAGACTCTTCCTTATGAGAGGAGACTCTTGAAGTAAGAATTTTTAGTCAAAATTTTAAAATATATTTATAACATAAATATATAAGAAAGAAAGAAAGAAAAGAAAGAGAAAATATATAAATAAAAAAAAAACGCCAGTCTAATCTGCCAAAACCTTGTCCGGTTCATCGATTATCCCGGTTCAATCGCCGGTTCTGGCGGTTTTCAATTTCCAGGCCGGTTTTGCTCATAGTCTGGTTTTGAAGGGTTGATCGGACCGGAGCCAGGCCCGGTTCTCGGTCCAACTGGTTCGACCGGCCGGTCCGATTTGGGTTTCACAACATTGATCCACGACAGTTCCGTAGAAAACTGTACATGATGAGCTCAAATGTTGAAAGAAAACGTGTGCATTGGAGCTAGCTGAGGCTGCTCAGCCAAATAGTCAAATCCAATTTTTTTTTAGATTGAACCTAAAATCCAAAGTTAGTAACATGAATTTTCATTTTATTTATGGATGCTATTCATTGTATTTGATTTCAATTTTTTAAATTTAATATTTTAAAAATTAAGTTTTTTATTTTTCGTATTTTTTGTTTTTAGTGAATATTTTTAAAATTTTAAGCAATTTTTTTTTTTACTTTTTTAGATGCACCTTACTTAGATGTATTTAAAAAGTAAAATATTTTAAAAAATAATAAATACACAAGAATACGAAAAAATGTATTGAATTTTCATATTTTTTATTTTTTATTTTTTATTTTTGGTATTTAGTGAATTTTTTATAGATTTTTTTTTCATAAATATTATACTTTTTAAGTATATTTATGTTAGGTGTATCTAAAAATTAAAAAAGTTATTTAAAATATTTAAAAAATTCAATAAAAATAACAAAATACGAAAAATAAAAAAAATTTAATTTTATATAAAATAAATCCTAAGTATGAAAAAAAACAAGCTGATTAATTTTTAGTGTCGAAATTTCTGATATATTTGACCCTTTTAACATTTCAATCAATTGACAAACCAAATTTGAACAAGAAGGCTTGGAGGAAACAGCGTTTTATGACCGCCACACAACACATTAATGCTTCACAAGTCTCTCTATTTTTTTATTTTTTTTTGGCCAATGTTAGATTTTATTGATAGATAAAAATACATACATATTATTCCCATTTCTATAAGGATTACAGCCAAGGTTCAGTATTCCAAACATGAACACTCGACCCCCAACAACCATGCAACACACTGCGACCACCAACTAACAACCATAACCACGACATACTGCGGCCACTAACCAATAACCAAACTCGCAACATATTGCAGCCAACAACAACAAAGACAAACCAAAATCTCTATGGAGGAGGAAGAAAAGCTTCCACAAAGGAGTAAAAAAACAAGAAAACAAGATATAATAAAAACACACACACACACACATAAAAATCAAAAAAGTAGATTCACACGATCCATAGCGTAGGACTGACAAGCAACTCTAGTGTCGACTTCAAATCTACAGCCCATGGAGGCCGTGAAAGCCTGAATGATAGAAAGCCTCAGATTGGAGAGTAAAAGACCAGAACTAAGAAAAAGCAAATCACCTACGTAGACAGACAGGAAATGGGAAGGGAAAGGGGGATCGAATGTCACCGCCCCCACTTCCCAAGGTACAACTTGGGCTTGGGGTTGCGCTCCATCCAGATTTTAAGTTCAACTTGTACTAAGTGCTATCAATTCTTTAGACTAATGCCCGTGGGCTATGTCTGAGATTTGTCTGATACACGTCGAAGGAGCATTTTGCATGGGAAAGAGAAAATATGTGTGAAATATAGGTGAAACGGACTTATATTTCATTCACATTTCATTTACTTTTTTCCTCTTTCTTTCCAAATCTCTCCCCAAATCTATGTATCAAATACAGCCTTAAGATGCAAATGAGTAGTGACAGAACTCCAACAAGACCGTGAGAGGCCGTGGCCCCCCACTCATGAGAAACAATTGGGTGTATGATACTTGATAGTTGATAATATGCTTACCATTTGATAGATATATTGGCCCCTAAACTACTACACAGTTGAAATCAAGGCCGATTTTATATCTTGACATTTTAAAGACATTTTGTTTATAATTGGGTAGTTTTTTGATTTAATGAATTAAAGGTATAATGGAATGATTATTAGAAGGGGATTTTTTTTTAAGGTCCCTAATAATAACAATTTAGAGGATAAAGAGTTTTTTGATTTAATGAAACGAAGGTATAATGGAATGATTATTAGAATGTTGATTTGTACATTTGATTTATTAAAAATAATAATACAAAATACATGACAAATAAAATTATCATTTACCATTATAAATGAATTGCCATTTCAAATGGAGGTTAACGAACGAGTAGTCTCATTTCATTTAGTCTCCAATGTACACATAATAATAATAATAATAATAATAATAAAATGATTTTATTGAGTTAACCAAATAATATAAAGAAAAAAAATTATGAATGAGAATTTATACAGAATTTTATAACCGTTTAATGTGGCAATAAATTTTTTTTTTTTTTTCAATTAGTCATGCGACATCTCGCCCCTGAACATAAGATTCTAGTTCCGTCCCTGCAAATGAGATTGCAATGGGGTTTTCTCTGTGAAATTGCTTTATTTGAATGCAGAGCATCTCTCTGTATGACTTTGATCATAACAAGTCCATTATTTCTTGTATTCGGAAAAATCTCTATTCATTTCGTGTTCAAGTTTTTTTACTGACAAGTTTTCTATTGGCTTTTGTTTTACATTGTATCAAACATCAGAAAATGTGGAAAACATTTTCCAGAAAGGGTTTTCAGCCGACACAAATGGAGCATGAGTTTCAGAACAGGGTGTTTTTGGTAGTTCTCTCTGTTGGGGGGTTTAGTAGTTGGCACCTTGTTAACTACTGGTCTACTGGGTTTTTATGCAAAAATTTTTTTTTTTTGGTTTTCTTGTTGCTCCTGTCTGGATCTTCTTTATACTCTTTTATATTGATTGTAATTTTTATCATTACTATCAAAATATATTCCTTCTCTGCGGGTAAAAAGACTGATAATAACAATTTTTTTTTGCCAAAAAAATATATATATATATATATATTTTGAACAACAATATGAAAGAAAAATTTATTAATTAATTGTTGAAGAAACCAAGATTGTTTACCAGCAACTGAACAATACATTTGAATCTTTACTTGTAATTCCCTCCATATCATGACCAAACATGTACCTAGCTAGAGCTCTTTTTATTCATTGCAGTGGTATTACTGCAAAACTTTAAAAACAATAATAGTAACATTTATTTTCTTCCATGTATGTCGAATTTATTACAAGGTACTGGAGAGCTAGCTTCCATGTCGGCTAAATTTTTTTAGTGCCCTAGCATTGGAGATTATTACCAGGCGCAACCCCAAGTTGGTTGCAATAGTCAGTGTAGTACTTAACACGAGCATTGACTGCATTCGGGTTATTACCGTTGCACTCGATGCTGTTGATGGCTCGGATTGTTGCACCGAATCCAGAATTTATGACATTGTGAACGTTGTTCATCCAAAACCACAAGGCGGTCTTGAAGGACACCACTGAATCTGTTGCAACAGTTTCCGGATTGTTTAGTCCATCGAACCCAATGCTTTGCCCAGCAGGTCCATAGTTGTAGTTCCATGTCAGTTGAAGAGGACCTCTGCCATAGTAATTCTTGTTTGGTGCACATGGGTACTGAGTTTTTGATGGATCACAGTAGTTCTGAGAGGCACCATTTATCTCTTCAATATTGCAAAAAACTGCCAAATCAGAAAATTGTGTGTGTTAGATATATATTGGTAAAATAGAATTTTTTTGATTATGTGTTATATTTATTTACAACTATACGAGGAAGGCTTGGATGAAAAGCCCAAAATAATAGACGGCCCAGAAGAAGTTCCTGAATCGGGAAGCGTGCCAACTAAATACATCCATAAGGACAAAATCCTTGATCATCGAATAACAGGAATAAAATAAAAAGTTATGTTAGGTACCCCAAATATTTTACCAAACCTCTTACATGATGTGGAACCCACACACATGTGAATTTGTGTGAATCCCTCTAAAATAAAACGATAGATCATGTTGATGGTCAATCCCTCCTCTTCGTCATTTTAAAGAAAGCATTATATTTGACTAGACCGTTAGAACTCCTTTCACATTTGCTAAATTGTGCAAATTTTTCTAGTATATATTATATGCATAAAAATTTTCAAATTTGTGCAGATTTTAGCAATTTACGTGTGGATTGGAGGAAAGTGAAGTTGAAATCTTACATCCAGTCTCATGCGTGGCATGCGCGAAGAAAGCAGCAATTTCGCGCTTAGAATCGTCAGCAGTTCCAGTGGTGCCAAACGAAGGGTAGGAGCCGAGGGCATTAAGAAATGCAAAGCAGAGAAAGAACTGAGAGCATTAAGAAATGCCGACCGGGTATAGAAGCTGGTCCCGACACATCCAGCAGGAGCTTGATTGATTATGCCATCGAAAAATGCCTGTGTGACTATATCAGGGACCGAGGCACCATTGGAGCCAGAGCTAGTACAAGGGCCTGATTGGCACCCTGCACCACAGTAGGCGTCGCCAGTGCCACAGTACCCGAACTGGCTGCAACATAGTCCTGCAGCACAACCGCAGTTCTGACCCAATACGATTTTTGGTACCATAACGGCGAGAATTCCGGCCAGAATGATTGTCAGGAAGCTGTTTTTGATATTGAGGGATGCCATTTTGGAAGAGAAATGTGTGGATGGAAGAGTGTGTGTATGTGGGATGAAATTAAGGTGAGAGAGGCATGTATTTATAGTTGTACAATGGAAAAAGTGTGGAAAAATCAACATTCCTACTATACGATAAATGTTTTCAAATTAAAGTTTGAAAAAGTCAAAAAAAAAAAAAAAATTGATAATGAAATCAGACACAGTCATCTTATGTGGCTGTTTGGGAAGTGGATTTTTTTGTAAGTGTTTTTAGTTGTAGAATATTATTAGAGAAGAAAAAATTTTGTGTTTGGGAAGATAATTTGGGTTTTTTTGTGGTTAGATGTGATGTTTGTGAGAGAAAAAGTGAAATGATTATGGGGTTTGATGTGATATTTAGTTTGGATTTGTTTTTTTTTTTGGTTTTGCAATCAATTTGTCTTTTAGTAGAAAAAAACAAAAAACAAAAAACAAAAAAAAAACCAAAAACCCAACTTCCCAAACAGCGCCTATATAAGGTGAGTTTTATATTTTTATGAATCTTATTTTTTTTGTGAGTCCCACATTTATTTGAAAAAATTGTGTCGAACTCTATAAAAATAGAACAAGTATTAAAGTTTAGTTTGCAATTATTAAAAATTGTGTAATTAATTATGTAAGTAGAACAATGGTTGAAGCTTAGCATGCAAGTTCCTAACAAGCGTGTAGACTCTGGTGTTGGCTTGACTTTGACTGGTGCGTCAATAAAAGGATGTTTTGGTAAGATGATTAAAAATTATTTTTTTGATTTTTTTTAAACTTTTTTGTGAGAAATAAAAGTGGGTTAAAAGTTGGGAAGTGACTTTTAACTCACTTCCCAAAATAGCCCAAAGTGGACTGATTCTCACCATATGATCTTGTTTTATTTTTCTTTTTCTTTTTTTTTTCTTTTTGAAAATTACAAATTAGTGACATATAGTGAAAAACAATTATACTATAGATGATTTTTTTTTTTTTAATATATATATAACGCGGACACACAGAAAGGAATTTTACCAAATACAAGAAGAGCTTGCACCATTTACAGAGGACATTAATCCCACTATAAAAAAGCAAATATTCTTACACAATAAATGTTTTCAATCTAAACTTTGAAAAAGTCTAAAAAATAATAAATCGACAACAAAATTAGACATAATTATCTTATATAAGGTGAGTCTTTTATTTTTATGAATCTTATTTTTGTGTGTGTCTAACATTTATATAAAAAAGTTGTGCCAAACTCTATAAAAATAGAACAAGTATTAAAGTTTAGCTTACAATTATAAAAATAACTTGACCTTGACTTGTGCGTCAATAAAGTGGACTGATGATTTCTAACCGTATGATCTTGTTTTTTTTTTTTTTTTAGAAATTACAAATTAGTGAGATAGTAAAAAAATAATTGCACCATAGATGAAAAATAGGATAAATTACACTTACCCTCTTGAGATTTAGATTTAATACATATTGAATTCATGCCCTCTCTCTTTTCTTGTTTTGCTTTATTTCATATGGATGGATATTTGACTTGAATTGATGGTTTAGATTAGTAATAGTATTGTTGCATTTGTTTTGTTATTAATAACAAGACCAAAATAGATTGTAAGACCAAAACAGACCCAAAACAACACAGATATATGGCACGACCAAAACAGATTGTAAGACCAAAACAAACCCAAAACAACACAGATATATTGCAACAGATATATTGCAAGACCAAAACAACACAGATATATTGGAAGACCACAACAGCACAGATATATCTTTTCCGACCAAAACAGACCCAAAACAATACCAACACAAGTCCAGGACTGGAATAAAAAAAGTTTGCAGGTTGTATACATCTATTGTATGTGCTGTTTGTGCTTTCTAATAATGACAACACAATCCATTAGTCCAACACCAATCCAACACAATCCATCATCAATAACTATCTATTAGTCTATCACAATACAATCCATTAGTCCAGCATCTTAAAGTTCAATTTCAGAAAAAAAAAAAAAAAAAAAAAAAAAAAATTCCTAAATAAGTAAATTCCAAATAACCCGTCACAATATGATTAGTACCAAGGAATGTGCCAAGACATTTTCAATCGTCATGGTGATGGTCCCCACAATAACCATTTACAATTAAGGACAAATTATTAATAAACTATAATAGTTTGACTTAATTCTCATAAAACACTGTTAAAATAAGTCTTAATAAATCGTCGCTAAAAATAATTTTTTGTGACGATTTTTTTACATATGTTTGCAAAAATTGACAATTAGTAACTTTTTTCTTGTAACAGTTTTTATAAATTGTCACTAGAACTTACAATTAGTAACGTTTTTATGTAACGAATTTTTTAAGCTGTCACTAAAACTTATAATTAGTTATATTTTTTTATGACAAAATTTCAAACTGAAAATTAACAATTAGTGACATTTTTTAATAGTGTTTGATAAAAACGTCATTAATTATTATAGGACTTACTGAACAATAAATTTATCTATTAAGACTTATACATAAATCCCTCTTTAATGTACTCATTTGGGTTTGGTTAGGAAGAGTTAATCAATGAAATAACCATTGTTTTAATGATTCTAACGGTTAATATTAATCTAATAAAACCATATTGTGCATACAAAAAAAACCTTCCCTTTGTAAATGGATGCCCGATCTTTGCGGATGGACAAACACTGGGTCAAACAGAGCCGGCACTAATAAGTTAAAAATAATAATAATAATAATAAATTCTGGTACTGAAGTCTCTGGACCAACTTGACTTCAGTCTACAAATTTGTTCCAACTCCAATCTTAAAAAGTTGCCCCGTTTGGTAATAGGTTAATTGTCATAACTTTTTAATTTTTTGACTAAAATATGAGATAAAAAAATTAGTATGTTTAGGATGACTTTTTGATTTTTTACGAAAAGATAAGCAAAAAGTAGAGAGAAAAAATAATGTTTGACTTTTTATATAATTTGTTAGATTTTTAACTTTTTTAATGATTTTTTTGACTTTTAAGTTAAATGTGATGTTGTCAAACGGGACCTGAGTTTGCCCAATAACTTATATATTAAATAAATAAATATATGTGCATTATAAAATTAATTATTAATAATTTTATGATTAATTTGGCACACTAGCTTAATATTTAGCTATTATATTCTAAATATAAATTTAGGTAAATATATATTTCAATTGAAGTACATCTTTTTATTTAAAAAAAATAAAACTAAGTAAATAATATATCAACAATGATACATTTCCCTCTAAAACTAGAGTTCTAATTGAGTTATAATGAGGTGGAAAGTAAAAAAAATGGGTACTTACATGTAGGTGCTAATAAGTTAACTTATTGTCTAATAGGTCCTATGAAAAAAATTTGTCATAAAAAAAGTCACTAATTGTAAGTTTTAGCCACAATTTATAAAAATCATGACAAAAAAAAGTCACTAATTGTCAATTTTTAGCGACGTATATAAAAAATTGTCACAACAAAATTATTTTCAACGACAATTTTACTAAGATTTATTTTCAATAGGACTTGATAGGAATTAAGTCCAATTATTAGGACCTATTGGTAGTTTACCCTAAAAAGAATACAAAAGTGGAAAAGCAAAAAAAAAAAAAAAAAAAAACAGACACAACACATACTGTGGCAGTGGGTCCCACCCACTGCCACATCATTAGTGGTAGCTCTAATTAGAGCTTCCACTCATTTTCCAAACAACTATTTTATGGTGGAGTGGTGATTCATCCCACTAATTTTTGGACTACTAATAATTCTAATGAGCTTAAAAAAAAAAAAAAAAAAAAAAAACCAAAGCCAAAACATCACATATACATTAGAGCTATTAAAACTCACAAATTAGAACTCTAAAATATCTATAAATTATATAAGGAAAATGAGGTTTCTAACCCACAAGCCTAATGGGAGCTCCTATATCCCAATCTCAATTTTCTAATTTTTTAACTTTAAAAAAAAATCTCAATATTTATTGACTTCTCCCAACCCACAACCATTTTTGACTTCTCCCATACCTACGGTTACACCATTTTCAAGTTCTTCCATACACTATAGTTAGTGATAGGACTGTTAAATTATTTTTATAAAAAATACAAAAATATATAATTTGTATATTAAAAAAATATCTAATACAAATATAAATTTTTATGAAATCTATCTATCTATCTATATCTATATATTATATAAGTACAAAACCAAGTCTTGTGAGAATTCCAATATCTCAAACTAAAATTTTTAATTTTTTGATATTGAATAATTAAAAAAATCCTCTACAGCTCTCATTCAAGCAAAAAAAAAAATAAATTAATTAAAAAAATAATATCTCTTGATTTATGACTTTCAAATGGAAAGTATATCAAATATATAAAATAAAAAGTGTACTAATCCATTTCAAATTCAAATTCGAGGGGCACTAAATATGGAAAACATTTCATTAATTTAAATTTAAAATTATAATGATTTATCCGATAATATATAAATTTTAAATAATGATCTATTCCATAATTTATTTATATATCCATATATCTATATACTATTATAATTGCAAAATATTGTCATTTGATTAAGGTTGAAAGTTATAATTCTTTTTTTTTCATTTTTTAAAATTTTTTGTTAATACATGTTACAATATGATTGGTCTATAAATTAATTTTGTATTCTTAAAATAAAATTTTAGATTTGAATTCTTACTTAAATTATGTTACTATAATTGGAATGAGATCAATACTCATTCCTTAAATTTTGCATCATTTATTAAATTATAAAATAAATTTTCAAATTTAAATTCTTCTTCAAATTATATTATTACAATTAGAATGAGATCAATATTCACATATGTCATAATCTATAGATCTATATATCTATATCTATCTATATATTATATAAGGAAAATGGGTTTTCTGATCAATAAGGCTTGTGGGAGCTCTAATATCTCAATCTCAATTTCCTAATTATTTTATTAAAAAAAATAAAAAACTTCAGCATTTATTGACTTCTCCCAACCCACAAGTCTTTTTAACTTCTCTCATATCTACTGCTACACCAATTTTTTCC